TTATCTAATTTAAAGGAGAATTAATAGTATCTTAAAAATATTTTATTCAGGAAATTATTTTTTTAAAAATAGACTATTCTTTACTGCAGATTAATAATCTATTCTAATTAATAAATATAATCTTCTAGCTGTTGAATCTCTTTAACAGTAAGAATAGTATTTAATAATAATTCTAGATTAATTTAATTACTGGATATTTTTATTTTTTTATTATCTTCAATAAGTGGCATCTTCCTTAGGTAGTTAAAGAGAAGGATCAGAATATAATAAAATTTACTTATCAGAATAGAAAGCCTGTCAACTAGGTAAGAAATCAATTATTAAATACTATATATTTATCTAATAATGACAAAGATAGTTTATATCCATGAAATAAACTAATTCTTAAGGGATCAGTAGCTTATTACAAAGGAATCAGTATCTTATAAATACCGGAGAGATATAGAACCACTATCAATAATCTCATGACTCTCACAACCACTATAATATGTCATCCCGATGACTTTTGTCCCGATAGCTAGGTTATTCTATCACAATTCCTTACCTACTCGACAGGCCTTTTATCCCGACAAGTAGATCCTATCACAAACAACTTTACTACTAAGGTTATCCTGTGTACCGTTCAAACAACTTCGATTTTATAGAATTCCAATAAATAATAATTGGGTTGAAATTCTCTCGGTTGTTTCTTACTAACATTATATAGTAAACAATCAATACTATCAAACTATAAGTTAATTCTCATAGCCTGTTTACAATAAATATATATTGTCTGATGAATTTCAGATAATAAGATGTATAGTATTATACTGCGTCTGGCAGCACTAGAATAAAATTTATAATGTTTATATAGAAAGAATCTGTAAAAGATAAATAAAATATAGAGTCATCCAAATAGAATAATTTAAAATAATAATTTTGATGTATTTTATTTAGATGATAACAGGCTTGCCGAACATACGAAGAGCACGCAACTGAACCCGGACGTTCCCAGCACAACAGACAACCTGTAGAACCATATGGGCCAAACAGCTATACTTGAAGCATCATACCTTTCCGGCTTACTGCTTCCTCGATGTGAAACCCGAAAACGAGACGGTAAAGATCGCGCAGCCAAAGATGTTGCCCGCTCTGCATCATCACTTCAACAGCGCATGCCACATCAGCTGCACCCGCTCTAGCTGAGGGACCCACACTCCTAAATGCCGGATCGAATGCTACCAATTGCTTGTAATTCTTCAGGAGTGCAACCTGCCATGGCATCGACCCAAACGCGTCCGAAGAAAGCGACTTGACGAATGAAGGAAAACTATGTGGCCCAACGCGCTGGAATCCGCTATTTATTGCGGCCTGGGTCACTAATATCCGAACACATGCCAGGTTTGGATCCCTGGATGATGTCTTCACCGTCTGCGTGGAAGATGTTTGTTCTGAAGACTGGCTTTGACCCGAGATATTAGACGAATTAGACGACCAGGCGTGTGAAGACTGACCTGGGCCTTGACCCAAGACGAAGATATTCTGAACTGGTGCGTCATCGGGCGACACGGTTGCGGTATCGTCGAATATTGTTGTTGGTGTCTCGGGGTTTCCTTGTTGATTTATCAACTCATCACCCAAACCAGACTCTAATGGTTTCGATTTTTGAACGACCTGTGTAGTAAAGGTTGCTTGGCTTGGCCGGGGTGTACCTCGATCAGAGGTTCGAAGAGTTCGTTGAGTCCAACCTTCACGGAAGATATCGCATAGTTCCCAACAAGCCTGAACTGCAGAACCAAGCAATTCCTCACCTACCTTTTTACCCTCTTTTATACTCTGACGTATGCTGAAAAGCATTTCCGCTAGGGACCAGCAGGCGCTCAAAAGGGATTCTGTTTCTGATACAAGTGTCCTTTGTTTCATCAGGCGGTGACATATAGTAATGTAGAAGTCCAAGGTTCTTTCTCTGAATGCATCGGGGAGGTTACGGTCGTGTGTATTGTACAGATGATTGTTCAGCTCGAAGCTAACACGGAGAACAGAATCGGCATTCTCGTTGTTTCTGACGCGGGTCTCGAATAGTGTTTGGCAGAAGTCTCTGCAAAGGTCAAGCGTTGGGTTGATTTGCGGTGCACGATCATCATTATGACTGTCGTACAATTCCTGGCACAATCGCCAGCACGATCTCCAGACGTCCTCCCGAGTATCCACAGTGCATCCATGCCGTTCACGGTGTATGGAGCTTAGCGTTGCCAGTGTATTGCACAGGGCCCAGCATTCAGCCAGAGCTGCTTGTAAAGCACCAATCTCCGAGTCCTCATCAGACAATTGTACAACTTGTGAGTGGCGACCCTCGGGTTTCCCAATTGTATGTTGGCCAGCCTCTTCAGCATTCGCATTTCTTGAGGAAGCCGGTTCTCCATTAACCGAGGGCCTGGGGAACAACGGCTGTTCCTCGCAGTGATTTATGGCCATTTCTGATACTTTATGGCTGGTAGAATGGACATATTTACTAATGTCCAGGAACTCCTGCCTTGTTTGTGCACGTGGGGTTGCTCGTTCTAACCAGTCTCTAGCTGGTTGAATCGATGTAGTAGTCAGCGGTGGTGGTGATGTCGGACCATATTGATTCTCCTGATGCCCGTCAGTACATCCATGTACAATGACCAGAGGATCAGTACCTTGGCCGACTGTTCAGGTTTAGTGCTCACGGAAGGAGGTGCCACTACGTTCGATGTTAAGGTTTCTGCTCCATCTGACTCTGACTGTGAAGAGCCGCTAAAGTATTGCAGACCATTTACCTGTTCATACCAACTAGAGTAAGCCGTGTAGTTCACACAGCAGATGAGGTGCGTTGGATGATGGTCACTCACAAACTCGCCGAACCCAGCAGGTGCATGTATCACAGACTTTGGAGGCTCGTCCTCATCCGACTTTGTTTGGTTGCTGTTGGAAATCGCATTCATTGGCTGTATCTTACCAACACATTCAAGGTCAATGTAAAATTCGAATTTATACCAATTACTTTTGCGCCGGAGGAACTTGCACATACTGTAAGTCCGGTTTTAGTGGTAATTGGTGTGTGCGACGACTGGGTTGTAGCTGTCGGAGGCACTGCTTTAGGTCGAGTGTCAGGTATCTCAATATCATTGACAATCGACATTTTAGTGGTGTGGCTGGGTTGCTTGGGTCTTGAAGGTGACTCTTCACTGTGTTTTGACCCTTCGTCAGATGAGCTGCTTATACTTCCGTCGAGCCTGGATTGATTAACATAGATACTGGTTGGCAACGTGTTTGATGACTTACATCTTGAAGACTATTCGCGAAGCAAAATACGAGCAATGAATGTCCAATCCTCGTACAAGGGAGTCGGAACGATAATCATGTTGTGATTTATGATTATTGATCTAGCAATCCGAGTTGGGATCGACTCATGGCGCATATGAGTTCTAAGCTTAGTGGAGGCGGGATGAACGTGAATAGTAATTAGTTAGTATCTGTGCTGTAGGTTGGTTGACTAACGCCAGCGGGGTTAAGCTCATCCTTACTGAAGGGTGCTGCTCTATAATACCTGATACCGCGCTTCCTGTTCCTATTGAGCTTAGCCCGTGATACGCTATGCATGAGGCTAGTTGGTAGGCCTATCATGTACGAGGCATAGGCTCTCCAGCCACTTCATTGCTACAGTAAATCCGTATATGGCACACACCTCTTGATTGCACCGATCTTTTCTGGGGTATGATCCAGTACTTAAGACAAGCATACAAAGGCAACGCTAGACCACTTTGTATTTGCTGGATATATGTCATTCGAGAAATAAACGATATATCACTGATTAATCATGTGCCTTGGTTTTGAACTGACATACGAGAGCACAAAACACAATCTTATTGAGAGTATACGAAGCATGTAATTAAGCAGTACTGAAAAATAGCCGCTGTAGTGTGATGATGAGCATCAATTGTGACCTCTGACCCAAGCCACTAGATAACAGCCCTTGGCCATAAGTACTGTACTAGTAGTAGTAGGTGTAGTACTATGGTGGGGTACCCCGGTTTATCATTGGCCCGTGTACAATGGATGTTATGGGGTCGTACTACTCGGCGCTTCCACACACACACACACACACACTTACGTTCTTAGCCTATTGTACTCCGTAGTAGCTTGTATTTAGCCCACTATTTATCATGTGAGCAGAACAACAGACAGCTGCCCAATGGCGCGGTTTCCTGGTATTTGCACCCTGTGCCCTGTGCCTTTACCAGCTCGCTTTTCGTATGCGATTGGCAGGAGAAGTACCGGGACTGCAGTACTACTTGTGCTCGACAAATCGGAGACGGACAGTGAGCGAAGCAAAGCGCAAGAAAGCACACCTGTTTGATTAGGTTTGACTTAGACTATCAAGCAGTAGCTCTACGGCTCCACCCCTATCTCTAAAGATCCCGCAGTACGCATTCACATGGCTTATCAGCCCGGAGCACCTGATATATTAAGAGCTCTGGCTGGTAGTTCACGCAGCGATTGATCTCGTTCGTCCTTCCGCTAATCACGAGAATGTGCTGCGCTTTGATATGTACAAGTACTACTGTTTCAGACCAGACCAGGTGCCATTTTGAGATTAGCTTTACCCCTACAGCCCAGCCAGTGTTACCTGCCAGTGGTACTTGAACAATGTATAAATCAGTAGGCACGATAATGTTGCCATACTGGCCCCCGCCGTTCATAGATATCGTTCGATTAATCCTTAAGGTCGATAATGAAACTCTAGCTGCTCTGGTATACATGATCGCTACTCCGTACTCGATCATCTTTGACCGATGAGACCAAATTGGCCCAAGCCGCTGAGCGCAGGGATAGGTAGCTATTCTTCAACCGCAGACAGAGAAATAGGCATAAGTATGAGTGCAACCAGCGTGCTCAAAGCCTGCGGTTAACATGTGTCACACGGTGATAAAGCTGGCAAGACGTGATATGACTCCAAATCAAACGCTGACCTCTTCATAGAGTCCAGGAAGAAACCAAGCAAAGCGCGACGTGGCAAAAGAGAGAAGAAAGATGCAACATATAGACCGTCCATCCTCTGGTAATGCCATGCAAGCAAACAACCCATTCAAGCCAACGATCTCTGGCAGTGGATTATGGTTCTGTACAAGGTCGTGAATGTATTGATTGCACCATATGAGGAAGCAACAGAGATATTCCCCAACTTATGGATGTGCGACTAAAGCTCGTGTTCATATTTGGTTCTTCGCCCGCTCTCTTTCAGTAGGATTATACCTATTGAAGGTGTGAGTTCCCACGTGCATGTACGTCCAGCCGAGGGGCCACTTACCGTAGGAGTTTCTCTATCAAGTCGACATGAGTCATAATCATTCTGCGGCAACAGTACCGCTTGCATCCAAGCTGATCCATGGCGTCACTTTCAAGCTCCAGTTAGTTTGTCGCCGTAGTTAGAAATTCGACCACCAATACCTACCCATCGGGTATACCCTCATCAAGAAGTTGAAGATAACGCTCCCAGAGATCTCCGACAACCTGAGATTTACGTTGCATGAGTTTCAAGAAGCGCAATCGGGTATCAAGTGCCACGTACCTTGCCGCAAGAAAAACAGCGGACTGGGATGATCATTTGGTCTGATTATTTATTCCGTAGGAAAATTTACCTGTTGGTAAAGTAAGTATAGAGGAGTCAGATTTATCAGAAATCGTTGGGAATCTTGAGAGCCGGAGAAAGGTAGGAATTGATGTTTCTGTCTTGGTTCCTTATTGCTGGAACTCACCAAAGACAATGAGTGCAGTTTTTGTCTGCCATCAAATTGCCCGAGACGTGCTCCGATTGAACAGGCACTAGACCGCAGCCCCACTTGTTGCCTTTCTAGAACCAAAAATACCGTATATATTACTGTTTCTTAACCTTAAATTACCGCTATCCTACAAAGGGAATGACCGCACCTGACAGGATGATAAAAAAAAAAAAAAGTAGACAACGGGACTGGAATTTCGTAGGCCAGGCCGTCATCATCACTATCGACCCTACTACGCCAGTGTATGGACGATTAACTTTGGAGCCTTGGAGTTTTTAAAGCCTTTATCACAATTCATCAGATTTTCTATAGATTTCTGCCTTTCCCTCCATATCAATCTACCAATGCGCAATACTCAAGACCCAAAACGACCGTCAAAGAGATCCCGAGTTGGCGATGCGGCTTTAGGAAAGACAATGCAGATTGACGATACACGAGTCAAGCGACGTCGCACATCACAAAGCAAGAACGATATCAATAAGGCGCACACGCCGTCTACAATTAACTCAAAGGAAAAGCATGGGGTCGAAGAGCAGTGTACATTAGCCCGCTCTGTGTCTACTGTACAGAAAAGCGAACCGCAATATGAAAACTGGTCGTCTACCAGCATGGTAGCTGGTCAGTACAGCAACCTAGATCCAATTTTTACGAGTGATGACGAGTAAGTTGAATGCCTACCATGCAACTGCAAAGCCTTTCTAAACTCCTCTCGATGTTAGGTATCTCCTCCTTGGTCTCGAGACTGCAGTCCATGTGTATTCTCTTGCGACTTCGCGCCTTCTTCGAACACTTCCATCGACAGCTGGAGATAGCATAGCTGGATACAAACTCTCTCCGGAGAACCCAAACTTCCTCTATGTGTTTACGTTGAGCGGTTCTGTGACCAAGTGGGAGTGGCTCTCTGGCGAACAATGCTCGTCTTGGGAAGTAGGTCACAAGACGATTTCTGTCGACGTGTGCCTTAGTGATTCTGGGAACGATCTATTGCTTTTCATTTTGGAATGCAAGGATGGAAAACGTGTGATCGCACTCAATGACTCCCCTAAAGACGCATCACAGTACATTATCATACTGGAAACCCACGTTCAGATCACTAACCTCAAGGTTGCATGCCAAGGCAAGTTCATTGTAGCACACAGCGACCGGCATGTGTTTTTCGGCTGGACAGGGCTTGTTCAGCCTTCCGATTCTGTCCGTTATATCTGGAAAGAGGTCAACTTGCCTGTCAGCATCATGTGCATTGATGTTCGGCAATACACAGCGTCGAATCGCCCTGGAGCGCAGGGCGCAAAGGATCGGGATCATGCGGAAAAGGTCGATCTAGTCTTAGGTGAACGAAATGGTTCTATTCTCATATACTATGACATCCTGCGTTTTGTCAAGGATGAGGGGGGTCGTCAACATGAAAGAAACCTTACTCCTCGGCGCCTTCATTGGCATAGGAGTTCTGTGAACAGCGTGCGCTGGTCTAAGGATGGTAGGTCTCCCAACAAGAACATCAAGATAGAGACAATTTCACTGATGAACCTGTTCAACGAAAGGCAATTACATCATAACAGGTGGCCATGAATCGGTCATGGTGCTCTGGCAGCTGGACACCGGTAGAAAACAATTCTTGCCTCATCTTTCGTCTCCGATTGGCAACATAGTTATATCTACAAGTGGGAATCTATATGCCGTCAAATTAGCGGACAACTCGATTATTGTCCTGTCAGCGAGAGAATTACAACCTTTCTCCACCATAACAGGGTTGCAGCTGTGTCCTAAATTTACCAAGGCTCATGGCAAGATTTCACCTGAAGATCAGCCTCTGTTCGAGTGTGTTCCTGCTGCAATGCATCCACAGAACCTCGATCACCTTATCATAGCTGTCCCCGCCTCTCGTCAGATGACTCAAGAAAGTCAGCCCCTGGTCAATGCCTCCATGCTTCAAACCTACGATATCCGTACCAACAGCCATATTTCCCGTCAAGCTCTTGCACGCACCAACGCAACTACGTTAGAGATTGGCCCTGATGGCTCTCACATAGTTACTCCGGACGTCACCCACATCAGTGTTTCCCACGACGGAAAATGGATGGCCACCGTCGACAGTTGGAGCCCCTACATACGAGACATGCAAGCACTGTATCATGGAGATTCGGGAATTAATCATTTCTCGGATGGCTTCCAGGAAACTTTCCTAAAGTTTTGGAGATGGAATAATACTTCCAACCTGTGGGAATTGGTTACCCGCATTGACGGACCCCATTTCTGTGACAAAGGTTCCGTGCGTGTTTTGGATGTTGCAGTACGGGCATACAGCGCGGAGTTTGCGACCATCGGTTCAGATGCAGTCTTGCGTTTTTGGTGCCCGAGTACTAGGCAGCGCAGTGGCTTAAAATCTGACAACCCAGAAGAGCCTATGGAAACCTGGAAATGTCGGAGAGCCATTGATTTGAAAACTTACGTCGATGTCGGCATGTCAGACTCACTAAGTGCAGCTTTCATGGACTTTTCTCAGGACGGGTCTGTCCTTGCCGTCTGCCTGGGATCCAAGGCATGCCATAACTCCGGACTTGCTGTATTAATTGATGCTCAAAATGGCACCGTCCGTTACAGCAGGGTCGGTTTATATAAGGGTATGCCCTGCGCAGTTGCATTTGTCGGGTGCAAACTTGTTATAGCATCCCCAGAGGCAGTGTCCGTATGGGATACAGTTGATGATGTTGTCAGGGCAGTCAAATTGCCTGGGTCCGGAAGCGTTTCGTCCAAGCAGCCTCGTTTGCTGGCTGTAAGCTCTGAGACTAATACCTTCGCTGTGTCAGTACAGTGCCCACAAAGTCATCAGCATTCAAAGAAGAGCCGCATGATCCGATCTTCTATACAGGTATACGATGTTCCCACATTAGCGTTGCTGTCGGAAACCACACTTGGGCATCATCCAGTTGCCTTACTATCGGCTATGCACTCAAGTGATTATGTTGTTGTTGATGTTGCGGCCAACGTCCAGCGGATTGGCCGTCTCGATCAGAGCTTCCAGAGCAATAGTCACTCGCGTGACCTTGGTTCTCACCTTAACTCAGGACTTGGAAGTCTTTTCGGCCAGCATGGCCGTGGGAAGTCTCAAGATCCACAGCACATTACTACTGGCTCGGACAATCAAATCATGCAAAAGGAACTGGCTAGCGTCTTCGGTGATGCGCCGCCCTTCGTTATGCCCCCGGCCAACATGATCTTCCGCAACGTGGTAGATGCTCTTTCTAGTTAGTTTCAGTTAATCGGGAAACAAATCTTGAGACAGACCATGATTTTACATCGTTATGTTGCTCTAGGTAGCCCAAATCTGTAAATTCACGTTTTTTGCTCAGCTCCTTAAGAGGAGTTATGATGGCATACTTCGGTATTTTGTTCGGTGCTTATTATTATTTATGCTGGGCAAACTTCGCTGGGGTTCCGCTGCCTTCTCGCAACAGTTCATTTTTTCCCTATTTCCCTCCATTGCATTCTCTTCTATCATTTATATATTTATCTTTGATGTTGTGTCATTTCCATTTCCATTTCAATTCCCATTTATATATATAAGTATAGCGGGAGGAGAGTTTGAGGCGAATGGATGAGATTATCAGAGCAACCCGGAAGCATGCGTTAACTTGAGAAACCTAGAATTCTTACTAGTAGGGAGTAGGAGTAGCCCTGTACACCACTGGCACATATGCCCCAGTGCTTTGTATATGTAATCATAAACAAGATCATATCACATACCTAGATCAACTTCACGCTAATCTTCGAATCCTTCTTCGCAATTTGAAGATCCTAGTTCGTAACCACGTTAAAAAGAGCACCCATGTATTTTTAGGTTGTGATCTCCAGGTCTCCGGACATGATTCTGACTGCGAAGTTGAAGGTTGCGGCTTGTCAGATACCTCCTTTTGTCCGTCCTCCAGATCTACGTCATCACCACTGAATCTTGTCTGCAGATGCTGCTTCCCCCTTTGCTTTGTTTGCTTTTCCTCTGCCTTCATCTGTTGAGCCTCAAACCTCCATGTTTTAGCTGCCTCCTTCTCTTCGAAAGCCTGACGTGCTGCTTGTACCGTAGCCGCCCGAGCTATAGGGTCCATGCTCGTACGCGTCTTAGATCGGAAAACAAAATCCAAAGATGACCTAGATACGGGAGACGTTGTGTCCAAGGTGCTTCCGTTGTCTCGGGAGTATCCGAAAGACGAACGGCCGGTTATGTTTGTCTGAGAAACCCCAGGTGACCTTGTGGAAGAGCTATCATGAGTCTGTAGCGATAGTCGGGGTGTCTTGCTTGGATTGGTTGTGCCCGGCTTGAAAGACTCTAATCCTGACTGTGTCGGGGAATTGCTCCCCGCAAATGGATCCTTGGGAGAATCATCGCTCTCAAGTATGGATGCTTGGCACGATTGATTTAACGGTGGTGTATAGGCACGTGGAGCGAGACGCATGGGATGAACATATTGTGAGCCTGGCTTATTCATGGCTGAACTGCTGGCTGTGGACGCTTGGGACATTGCACTTGTTGATTGACGATAAAAAGCAGAGGGGCTTTTCCCTGAGGTTGTTTCGGTCCCAACTGCTGCCTTGTCGTATTTCGCATAAATGCCTAAGCCTTCCTGTTCGAATGATGACCGCGAAAGGTCGACTGTGGTCGGCGATGAGCCACCATATGATGCTTTCCTGAGTAAGGGCATTCGCTGCATTTTATTCCTCGCTGACTCGTACTTTCGCAATAGCAATGATGATAAAGCCAGCCCAAGCACCCAATGTAGTATTTATGGATATATAATCGATACGAATCTTCCAGACGGCTCGTGAAGTAAACACAGTTAGGCGAGTTTTCCCGACAAGATAAAGAAAACCCCCCTTCCCTTATAGTGAACTTGATCTTCCAGGTGCAATCAGTGGAGGCGTGCAACTCTCAGAATCGCTGAAATAGGAAGATCAGTGAGGCAGGACTTTATCTTCATTGCGATGCGACCCTATCCGATCCCGTAAACTGGATTGTTTTCAGGCTCACTGAACGAGAATAACTGCGTCCAAACGGACCGCTCGCTTGGTCCTAAAAGTGTGGAGCGAAGGATGCAACTGAAGTTCGTAGAAGTCGTCTTCGGAAGTGCCGTATGAGCCAGTCGCGGGTTAACTCACTGAGACAGCCGATTGTCTCGATTTCCAAGCCACTAACAGAAGCGTAAAAGAGAAAAAGAGTTCAGTGGTTCTTTACGCAATGCATTGTCGGCTGAAATGTAACAAAGAAAACAGACACACCAAGACACTTGGTTGCAGAGGAGGGTAGTACGAAATGGAAAGATGGATAATCCTGATGACAGGGTGAAATGGCAGCGATGAAATACGGTAAGTACAATATGAAAGTCAACAACAGACACTCGGACCCGTCAAAACTCCAAGAGAGCGCGAGGGTATGACGAGACCAGTACGACAATAGATGAGCCGGCGAAGCAAGTCTTAAGAGGCAAAGCAATGGTGATCGGTGCCGATATCAGGCATCTCCGTCGAAAAAGGGAAGGGAGTAAGAGGAGATAAAAGGAACTGCAACAAGTACCCGTGGGTTGGAGGGGTTGTAAGTTTCAAGTGTAAGATGAAGAAGAGTAGGAGGTATTGAGGGGGAGGGAAGCGGGGAAAGAGAGAGAGAGAGAGAGAGAGAGAGAGAGAGAGAGAGAGAGAGAGAGAGAGAGAGATGGGCGAAGGAAAAGGAAGGAGGGAGGAGGAGGAGGAGGAGGCTAGGAGACGTGATGGTGGTAGTAGTTCGCAGTAGTAGTGGTAGTAGTGAGGTAAATAGTGGAGGGAATTCTAAATCTGGGAAGGCGGCGGTGAAGTCGGCGCGACGCATGCGGATTGCGGAGGCGTTCTACAACTTGACTTGCCGGCTCTTCCGAACGACGGGCTTACATTAAAACTTTTGCATGTCCCCGGATAATAAGCTAATCATGAGATGATCATAATGGTAACTTAGCTAGGTTAATAGTGATAATAGTGATGAGATGAGCTTAGAGCAGTATAGTGATTATCTAAAGTTGAGCTAGATCATTAGAAGGGAATACGGTGTATAGAGATGAGAGTTCAACTAACTAGTAGTTAACGTACGTGATCATGTAGGATTATACTAAGTAGTACTAATTACGTCTAGACCGACTCGTCAGATTCCCGTCCGGGACAGACCAACGATCTACACTTGCACTTTCCCTTTCCTTCAGCATAGGGCTTCGAAATACTACTGTCTTGTATGCCCGGAGACAAGGCAGTATCTACTTGGTTGCACTAACTTGACACTCAATGGAGCGATACATGCTACAAGTAAGCTGTGAACGGGTCGCTTTGTAACAATCCGATTTGTACCGCGCGTATCATACTATGAGGAGGCAACAATAAAGCAACGTGACAAGAGAGTACCTATACTGACCATCGCAAAGGTACAAAAGCAGGCTACATGGAGGACCAATATCCACATGAGTTAATTTAGACCAGAAAGCAACCGTCCCCCAACCCCTCTCTTTCTCTTTTGCACGCTCTCTCTTCTTAGCGAAGGTCGCAGAAGGCAATAGATGATAGTACCGAGGCCAAGATGGAAAATTTATCTGTCCACTACCATGCTATATGCGTATCTATCTGGAACCAAGTAGATATTGGCTTATCAAAAGATTGACCTGGGTGCTTACCATTCCTTAACTTCACCTGGCGCCGGTGGCTCTACCCGCACAACTTTATCGCAGTTGAGCAAGCAAAGGGGGTCGTAAGCTAATTTGAGCTACGGGGCGTGAACCGCCTGCATTAGTACGACGAGTTTCATGTGTTATGGCGGAACATGGATGTATGGCTACTCACCCGGCGCATAGCATCCACTGTAGACTCCCCTAGTTCATGTTGCAGGTAATCCCGCTTGACGAGACCAACTCCGTGCTCGCCAGTGACTGTACCTTCTAGTTCAACAGCCCGCTTTACCATCCGATGAACCACAGCCTCGGCTGTTGCTTTCTCGTCTTTATTGAAGAGGATGATCGCTGCCGCACGTTAGAGACTCAGTTCAAATGGCTTCAGGGTATTAAAGAGCAGGTATCCATACCATGAAAGTTGCCATCTCCGACATGACCGCACATTCCCGCCAACAACCCACTTTCAGTCATGTCTTGTTTGGTGGCCTCGATGATTTCGGGTAATTTGCTTATAGGGACTGCTACATCAGTCGTCCAAACGTGGTCTTCAGGACCTCGCCTCATAGACATAACGCTCCAAAGTGCTTGTTTCCGGGCGCTCCAGAGTTCTTGCATTTCGCTCTCACCTCGGGCAAACTCGAAGGACCGACCCGCAGTAGAAGAAACAATCTTCTGCACCATGTTTATTTGCTCCTTGACGCCAACAGGAGTACCCGCAAACTTGAAGAATATGGTAGGCGCTTCCTTCCAGTGTCGGCTGGTGGACTGGCTTTCGTTGATGCATTTCATCTGCACGTCATCCAGGATCTCAACTCCAGCTACTGGGATGCCTTCTTCCACCACGCGAGTCACACACTCTGCTGCATTCTGTATTGTAGAGAAACTGGCGACTGCGACATTCTGGCTCTTAGGTTTGACCGTCAGCTTCAACGTAGCCTCGGTCACCAGACCGAGGGTGCCTTCACTCCCAATAAAGAGTCTTGTAAGATCGTAACCAGCGCTCGACTTCCGTGGACGTTGCCTGGTTTTAATGATAGTCCCGTCGGCAAGCACTACCGTCAATGAAAGCACCCAGTCACGCATAGTGCCATACCTGTAGGCGTTGGTTCCCGAACAGCCCGTGCCAATCATGCCACCGATCATAGCACCAGGGCCCGGATCCGGGGGAAAGAAAAGACCATCCTGAGCGATATGTTCATTCAGCTCCTCCCAGCCAACGGCAGGCTGGACCACGACGTCTAGATCCTGCTTATGGAGACCCAGAATACGATCCATACGACGGAAATCAATGCATACACCTCCCCGCGTGGGCGCAAAATGGCCCTCCAAGCTGGTACCGCCTGAGTAGGGGGTTACTGGAATTAACCGTTGATGGCAAACCTTCATGATCCGAGAAACCTCCTCCGTAGTAGATGGGTAGAGGATGAGGAACGGTCTTTCTCCCTCTTTCAGGGCGTAGGAAGACCAGTCGGACCCCGCATGCATATCCAAGTCGGCGTTTTGTGTGGAAACATTGTCTTTCCCTAAAATCTCAACGAAGTCCGCCCAAGCAGCCTGTAAATTTGAGGGAGAAACGTTATGTCGCGGTGACTGTATATCATAAACAGGACTTGTTGACGATGTGGGAAGCTCAGCAGGTTTCAAAGAGCCCAGATAGTAAGCCCCAGTGCAGAAAAAGGCCAATGCTAGCACAATGACATCAGCAATCAAGGTTTCGAGAGCTCCAGAGATGTTCATGGAGCGGGTCTCGGGCACTGGACATACCGAACATCAACGCCGCGTTGCGACTGCCCTGGGATTGGGACTGGAACTGTGAATATCGTTCCTGTTCAGCACGCTCACGTTTGAGGCGTTGCTGTGTACTTTCGTATAATTGATGCTTGAAGGACTGGGGTTTCTCATCGGCGCGATGGGGAACGGACCATTGCAAGCCCCTCCTCTGAGACCCTAGGCGTAGCGGATGGCTGAAGTAACACCCAGCCCTTGGGAGAAGAGCGCGCATGGCGCCCCGCGAACGAAGGTAAGAATCGGCTCTAATCATGATGGGAATAACCGGCGAAAGTCAGCATGGAAGACGGACCCTTGGTAAGACAGTAATTTTCTAAGGTGAAACCATCGCGTGGTAAACAGACGAATCCGCGGTCAAGCCAGGCGCAAACTATGAGAACTGAGGGAGAGGCGGGCCGACGGTAATGGTAGACGAAGGAACATGAGTATCCGGATTGTTGGATGGATGGTAGAACAGATGGAGGATGGAATGATTGCTAGCTAAGTTGGACTAAGCTTAAAGCGGTTAAGGCTGCGCTGCGGTAGCTCATCTAGTTCCTAATCAGATAGTTTACCAGCCAAGGCACTCTCTACTACTCCGTATACAAGGCACCTTTTTATTAAGCTATCCGAATGATGTATTGAGTTGCCATCTAGTTGTAATAGGCCATACTCACTTCACAACATACCAATAGGATTACCTACACGCAGTCCTTCATGTGAATGCCCAGTACCACTTCGTACTAGTCGTAAGTCAATCTACTACACGTCAGCCCGTTAGATTGTGCCAACCATGATCACCGGAGTGTAGTAGTACTGAGTATACGCATTTTCCTCAGTCATTGGACGATCATGGACCAAGTAAGCCGGTCCATTGACCAGCCCGTGGTAGAAATTTAATAGTTTGCTAATCAATCTACACCCGAGCATTCAAGAGTAGTAGTATATTTGGCTAGGTTAACTAGTTAACAACTACCAAATACTTACTAATCAATATAGCCGGTCAGCTGCCTTCTCCGGGTAAATTGGCGCTGCGCCGGTTAATTCTGGACCAATGAAGGGCTTTCCACCCCGCCTCCTCTACCCCATACCTTAGTACTTACGTCGATGCCTCCTACCAAGCTACCCAAGATGGATCGAGAAGCAACAAAATCCCTAGGGCGACATATTCGGAAATTAAGAAAAGGCCGAGGGGAAAAGGATAAATAAGGAAAGAAAGCGTAAATTTTGAAAGCTGAAAGTTCAGTGACGATATTCGTTTTTCTAGCCATACTCCAGCTCAAGAGCTTTACCTCCTACAACATCTCTAGTGAGCTGGCTTTCTCCGTGTGCCTCTGTCTTTCCGCCCATCATGAGTACCCAGAACACCAGCGCTCAGGTATGTGCACTAGAAATTCATTATACCCACCCACCATGAACTCGAGGTGGCACAATTCAAATGATCGCTAATGACCTCAACCACTACCAGAATCTTTCCTTCGTTCTTGAGGGAATTCACCGCGTCAAATTCGAAGACCGGCCAATCCCAGAGATCAAAGATCCTCATGACGTACTGGTGAACGTCAGGTACACTGGTATATGTGGTAGTGATGTGCGTATCGCCGAAAGAATCGAATGGCTGCCTAGCTGACATGTCGGATATTTTCATCCTCAAGGTTCATTATTGGGAACATGGCTCCATTGGCCAATTTGTTGTTAAGGATCCTATGGTCCTGGGACATGAATCTTCCGGTGTTGTCAGCAAGGTTGGCTCTGCCGTTACCAGTCTAAAGGTAGGAGACTGCGTTGCGATGGAGCCAGGAATCCCATGTCGCCGCTGCGAACCATGCAAGGCGGGAAAATATAATCTTTGCGTGAAAATGGCTTTCGCAGCGACACCTCCATATGACGGTACCTTGGCCAAGTATTACGTCCTGCCCGAGGACTTTTGCTATAAGCTTCCTGAAAGCATCACCCTACAGGAGGGTGCAGTTATGGAGCCCCTTAGTGTTGCCGTCCATATCGTCAAACAGGCTGAGATAAACCCGGGTCAATCAGTGGTAGTCTTCGGTGCTGGCCCGGTTGGACTGCTTTGCTGTGCTGTGGCCAAGGCTTACGGTGCGTCCAAGGTTATCGCTGTTGATATTCAGAAGGGTAGGCTAGAGTTTGCCAAGAAGTACGCCGCAACTGCCACGTTTGAGCCAGCTAAAACCGCGGCGTTGGAGAACGCTCAACGGTTAATAGCCGAAAATGATCTAGGCCCGGGTGCAGATGTTGCCATTGACGCCTCAGGAGCCGAGCCCTCGGTTCATACAGGCATTCACGTTCTGCGTGCTGGGGGAACATATGTCCAGGGCGGTATGGGCAGAAGCGAAATTACCTTCCCAATAATGGCGGCTTGCACCAAAGAATTGAACGTCAAGGGTAGCTTCCGTTATGGGAGTGGTGACTACAAGCTTGCAGTCTCCTTAGTAGGTAGTGGAAAGGTGAACGTGAAGGAACTGATCACGGGTGTCGTCAAGTTCGAGGATGCCGAGCGAGCATTCGAAGAGGTTAAAGCTGGAAAGGGCATCAAAACGCTTATTTGTGGTGTTGATTCATAGAATTCGTCAGACATATTAGCAACATAACAGACTGCAACCAGTTGCTTTGGACGTCAGACATTCCTCATTCACGCTTTCTACTTCCTTATCAACTGGCTTCCAGGTTCGAGGTCTTTTGGGTCACAGAATGTCAACCCCGAGGCATCTTCAGGCAATTGGATCGGTCCCACAAAATATGATCTTTTAACATATCTCTCGTCATCTTAAGAAACCGTATTCCCGTTTCAGTTTGTGCTGACTATGACTTGGCCATCACAAGCCTGTGCATCCGAAGTAGTCGTAACAAAGCTCTTGAGGATAACTGGCTGGATAACACACACCGCAATAACAGTTGATAACAATCAACTTCTGGAATGCATATTCAAACTCAAAGAACTCGCTTATTGAACATGGTAGTCACATCGCTTGACTATAGGGGTATCATGCTGCACGAACCAAGCCTACTGGCCTTCAGTCACCTCCCAAATTACGAGAGGTCAAAGCCTTCGACAGAAATGACGCAGTGCGCTTCCACGACATAACTTGGACAACCGACCAGCCGTTCTATAAGCCAAAGTCAAGATGCGGTGGGCTCAGTCTATCGTGGCAGGTTGAGACCAGTGTCGGGAGTGATCATCGGAAGAAGTATGAAAGGAAAACCGCGAATAACAAAGCTGTTGATTAGTGGTGATTCGGGCCAAAGAATACTAGCAGCAGCCGCGACCTCTCCTCTGGTGCGAATCGCTCAAGCGAAACACATCTTCCCATTCCCTCATGCCAGTCTTCCAATTGTTAGTAGTATTCTTTCTTGGATGTCTGTGACGTAATTGGACAGCACCGTCGTCGAGCGACATGCGACTTCGAATGCTGGAACCATCGCTCGTGCCATGGCCATAGAGAGCCCCGTCACCATATTGAATTCCGCTTTGGGGGTCGTCTGGGTCAATTTCGCCCAACTCGATCTTTGTGAGAATTATCCGGGCCAGCCGGTTGAAGAGCTCTTCTACGCCCTCACCCGTGAGAGCTGAGATCTCGACTGCAACGGGAATGTTGGACTTAGCCGCCCAGTGCGAAGTCTCTTCGGTACTGACCTCACGACCATGAGGTGCATGCGTGGCCGTCATTCTCGTTGTGGTATCATAATTTGAGCGAACGGATCCGCCGCTCGATCCAAATGGAAAAGACAACTTGCTGGATGTACTAGACGGTGTGGGAGGTGGGCGTGCATTGTCATCAAGGGAATCGCAAGGTGGTACGGAATCGGAGGCAAGATCTGACTTATTACCGGCCAGTAGGACGCTCAGATTGGGGGAAGCAAGTGCACGTGCATCCATGAGGAACGTGGGAAGGGAGACAAATGACGCGTGAGATGTTATATCATAGATGAGAATGGCCCCTGCAGCTCCTCGGTAATACGACCTGGAGACAGATCGAAACCTCTCCGTTCCGGCGGTATCCCACAGCTGCAATTTGATCCGTGTTCGTCGCGGCCCGGCGCCTAATTTGACGATTTTCGAGGAGAATTCAACCCCAATCGTTTGAGATGACAGCACTCGCCCTAAGGGAAAAAGTCATATTAGCGAACACGTCCGACTCCGAGATTAGCGTGGGAAACGGGGGGGGGGGGGGGGGATGGGGGGATTGGTATAGGGTTCAGATGGGGTAATGGAATTCCAATCAAAGATAGAGTACTGTACATTCGCTCTTCACAAATCGGTGTAACACGCAAGACCTGCAATAGCGAAGATATCAGTGACCGACGAAGCCTGGGGAGGTGTCACGGATCATTATCTTCAGTATTAGGACTTACTTTCCCGCCCCGCTCGGCCCAAGAAGAATGACCTTGGCCAGATAGTCATACATGCTCTCGAGCTCCTACATGGTATTAGATGCCGCTAATTGGAAGGGGCTTTATGAAGCGGGCGCACTGATGGCGGAGAAAGATCAACACGATGGGATAGCGCCGCTATACATACCTGATTACTTTCGGGGAGAGAAGATGTCGAGGAGGCATTTGAGAGGTTCCTTTGACGCACCATGGCGCCAGTAACAAGCCATCTAATGGCCCGCTGATTGGTAAAGGAGTAAAAGAAGGAGGGAGGCGAGGAGTCTAGTACTACGGCGGGTGGTACCTTGGTAGAAAGGACTTGCCCACGATTCGCCGTTCATGCGGGCTCGGGGTTAAAAGTACTAGTAGTGGTAGTAGTACTAACTATCGGCATTCCGGCACCTGCCACGCCCCTGGCTTATCCACTATTCCACTTATCTATCAAGCTGCTCTATCTTTATCTATGCAACCGTTAACTACAAGTCATACTAGTTATGGTTGTCAATCTCTTCGAGGTCCTCAGCGACGAGTTCTGTCCTTTTCATTCTTCATTCTTTTATTTACAAACGTGGTTCAATTTTTACCCGTCCGGAATCCAGGAATATGTCCCCCAGCAAAGCTAAAGTGCGTTCTAATGAGCCAACCATAACTGCAATGCATGTTTCGACCCCAAGGGTCACTGCTCCAGTAGATTTCACAATCACTCCCGGTAATCATACAGACGACAATCCCTCTGGCACACTGCTAGTGATGCCTTTCACACATGCGAATGATGGTTGTCCATGCCTGGCAACATGACCTATCCATGCGATGATTACACCAACAGCACTGCACCGTAGTCGGAGATTGAGACCTTGCAGCAGAGACAGGAGACATGGTACTTGATAAATCGATACACTGTCCTGACAAACTATTTTTGCGTATTTTTGAATTAATACATTCTTGGACAGCACGTGGTTCGCCCTTGTCAGTGGAGAGCTTATGCTCTTTGGTGACTGGAGATGTGCTCAGCGAAGTGAGTTTCGCACGCATTTTCGATGGCAGATCGTGCCAATGGCCGCAGTGACAGCAGATGACAAAGAGCATTCTAAACGGACTGGCTGTTTGTAAATTTTTCAATTGCTCCACGCGTCCGTTCATTCGCCCTTTCGGCGTGTTGCATAGTTCGGAGGTTGAAGATCCCACACTGAGCGACACATCGTCGTCAATATAGTCCAATGTCCTTGGTACAGTGTCATCAATGGGAGGAAAGCTGACTGAGGCAATGCCATCCTGCTGAGGAAGCGAAATAGATGAGCAGGCTTCGTCTGCAGTGTTGTAATCTTCTGATCGTGGCTCTTCAGAAGATGCGGATATTGACGAAATGGAACCTCTCCGTTGTGTAAGCTTACTCTCATGAGACACATGACAGGCTTCAGGTCGCTGCATTATAGGAGCATCCTGAAGGCTTTGAGCTAGATTTTGACAAGCTTGAGTTCTATAACGCGGTGGAGCACCTTGAGATTCTGGGTGTTCGTCCTGACCTGCATGCTTCGCTTCGTAGACGTCTAGATCAGTTAGGCTGCCATTTGTGTTGTGAGTCCGAGAATCCGACTTCTCAATTCCAGGCTCTCGGCATGTCACTGCATGGGCTCCATCTTGGTTTGTATGAATGCGTTTGCTCAAAGGTGACTGGAGATGCTGACTCGCCCACGTGTAGCCAACAACAGAGCGCTCCTGCGGGTTCTCAACGATACTGTGAGGCTGTGCAAGGTCTCCTTCGCCTTTATCACCGTCTCTCCCGGATAGACGCCTCGTATCATGTGGATGTGTCTGCTTATACTTGGGATCTAAAGTTTTCTTGACAGAATCCACAGGGATTGGTTTATCTTCGATGGAAGCTTGCAAAGACATTGTGTTTGAAGCCTCCCTAGCATTTGAAGACAAATTGCATCTGCTGTCCACGGCTGAGGCCTCTGCAAGGGGTGATGAAACGTAGCTCTTATACTGTCTCTGAAGATAGCGGTCCGTGGAAGTTCTGTTCGGTGCAGCCCTCAACGACTTGGCTTGTAAGTTAGTCGACGACAGCGAAATTCTCGAAGACTTTCCACCATCAGCTGCCACCTGAGCTATCCGAGTGCTTTTGTAGCTACCGCGAGTGTGTCTTTCCCGTTTATTCAGCAGTTCCGGGGAAGACACCGTCAATGACCGACGATGTCCAGATAACCTCACGTTGCCAGACTCCCTACTTTTAAGGTTGAGGGTTGCTGCGAACGACAAGCGGTCCAGGTCTGTAGGGACAGGAAGACTAGGGGCTCTTGATGCTACCCTATGCGCGTTACTGTCGATGGCAACGGTGTGGTCTTGCACAGGGCCTTGTTCGTGTGACAAATTGTTTTCGATAATGCGAGAATCAGGCCTGGTAGACTCATTTGTCTTGGATTCTGTACTGATAGGATTCGCCGGCATTAGCTCCCGCTTGGGCGCAGGCTCAGGTTGGTATGGAGTCAGGGCGCTGTTGACGGAGAGCTCTTTGGATATCACGGCGCCGAAGCGATTAGGCATCTTCACAGCAATATGAGGTTGAGCTGCGTGCGATCCCGAGTGCAGTCCAGATTGTGATCTTTCGGCATCAGCTGGTAGTTGAGTTGGATAGTCTCCGTCACTTCTGCTTAGGGAATTCGAGCGTGACCGGGAACTTCGCCTCGAACTTGAGAAGAGAGAAGAGAATCGGCGTGATGGGCGAGACTCATCCCCACTCAGACTCGATGCCCTACTTGAGCTTCTTATAGGTTGTTTTTTGGTAAGGCGCCTAGATTCTTTCTGCTGTTGGGTTGTCCCATGGCCTTGCTCGCTCTTTTCGAGGTCAAGAAACCTCTTCTCAAGCTCCAACCTTTCTGCTTCTAGGCGCCTTGTAGCCCTTCTTTCATTCCTATCCGTCGCCTTGTTGATCGAAGTAGCGGGGCTGAATGACCCGTGCTTGCCAGAAGGCATATCCATGAGGGAGGACGAGTCGGACAGTTGCAATGTTCCCTGGCTGATAGAGTGTGCTGATGGCTTCACGAGCTCATTGTCACCAAAAGTCGGAAAGGCTGGACCTTGGGCTATTCGTGGACCGACATCTTCATGCGTTCTTAATAATGATGCGGATCGACTTGTACTGCCGCCTAAGCCAACCTCGTCTGTCTGCTGTATCCCCTCTCGCTCTTGCCTAGGGGTCCTTATGGTTCGAGCCTCTATCGAATCTGACGATCGCCTGCGCCTTTCTTTCTTTGTGGTATTAACAAGAGGCACATCTTGCCCCAGCAGGGCAGATAGTCAAGGTAGGTAGAAGACAACTCGCTGGGGCGATGACAACAAGGGAAAAAAAAAAAAAAAAAAAATACCGCTTACATTCACATGCTTATCCAAATGGAAGACCCGTTGTAGCTGCTGTGAGAGAGAAGACCTGCGCTGTCTTCTAGTATGTCCTTTTTCATTGCTGTCCATCTCGACCGCAATATAGTGTCTTTCGCGGGGAGATTCACGCCAATGCTCATTGACCGTGAAGGTTTATCATCACCAGTGACCGATTGTGACTCGAGAAATAGTTGGTGGAAAACTAGAATTGTCCTCGATCGAAAAAAGATGACTGCAGATTCGAGCGCATGTATATAGTGAGTGTATGTGTTGTGTAACAACAGTGACTAATTAGTAGCCAGCAATCCGGTCGGATGAGATTCAGGACCGCTCGAGCACTCTAGAGCACATCTTTATGCATCTGAGCAGCTCTACCAGGGACTAGGTCAAGAATTAAAGAGATGAGCATGTGCATGAACTTGAAAGAAGATCATTGCGCAGGCCAAGCAAACAGGTAAGTCGGCAAGGGGCCATCGATCAAGCAGTCATATCCCAGACCAAGTGAAGGGTGACGGTCGCACATTCAACTGGACACTGGGCGGGCAGTAAGCAAGTGCACTTAGGCGCAAGGCAATCAGAAATTAAACGAGCTTACCACTAAGTCTACTGAAACCTCTGCTGGTTGCTGTAGTCAGGCACGGTGGGGGGTAGGGCATCGTCGAGCCTATGCCTCTTCTGGACTATACATAAAAAGGCTGCATCTGAAACAACAATCCTAATTAGGTATCAATCATAAAAATCCAGGACCGATTTCCTCCTCACTTTTCCTACTCATACCGCTTTTTCTTTCATATCGATCCCAACATACTAATGTGCGTCTCCCTTCTTCCACAACAAATCCCTCCCCGCAGTCCCAATGTGGCTGGCTCCACGGGGTTATCTTAATTTAATAACGGAAAGGGTCCAACAATCACATAAGCAGAAATGTTTGGATGTTAATTATGCATGGCCAGCTAGAATATACTTACAGTATTACTATTAAAAAAGATAATGTAACTATGTTCCATGCTTAAGTGAAACTGTGCCAGTACTTGTCTGCAATTTGTGAGCACTAATTTCAGTGCATCCATTCTGCTCCTTGGCTTAAGCTTGCTTTCTGAAAAGAAATCAGCAAAGTGTGAGCTCATGGTTCAGCATAGCCACCCGCGCGACATCCTACTTTAGCCTGCTATCCTTTATCAACAGCTGTCACTCCAACATACGATATAGATTCAGCAGTTTCAATATATATGAGTCTCAAACGCGATCGTTAAGGGTGATTCTTCCTGTCTATATTGGTCTAGTTGTTTTTGAGTTGCAAATGGCGGAACACTCTGAAGCCACGTCTCAAAAAGCACAGTCTGAATATACGATGCCTATTGCCTCACCCCCGCCATATTCTGCTTCTGCAACTACTGGAACTAGAAATCAAGAGTCCCTCCTTTATCACAACTGGCAGGAGACTGTGCCCGATACAGCAACGCTTCCACCGCCACCGATCGCTGGGTTCTTCTCCTCAAGTACAGGAAATGCCTCCTGCGACGATGCAGAGCGTGCCCACGCCTTTTGTGATAGGCTGCCCCTGAATATCCCCTTCAAGCCATCCGATGCCCTGTACAGATCTGTTCAGGAATACGATCTGAATCCTGCAGAGTCACCAAAGTTCAGTGGGAAGCTTTCCGTTGTCAATAAGGGGCACTGGAAAGGGTCCACAAGAGATGGGAATGCCGACTGTCTTCTAACTACAGATTTGCCACTCTACTTCTCCATCAAGGATTCTCCATTGCTTACAAAGAAAAGCAAAACTATTTACTTTGAAGTAAGACTGCTTGGTCTCCGCGTAGGCCCGCAAGGGCAGTCTGCCGAGGCCAGCGGGTTCTCTATTGGGTTTGTGGCACAACCATACCCCAACTGGAGATGTCCAGGATGGGAAAGGGGTAGCCTCGGGGTCTTCTCTGATGATGGTTGCCGCTTTGTGAATGACTCGTGGGGTGGGAAGGGTTTCACGAGCAAGTTCAATGTAGGAGAGACAGTTGGTTTGGGGATGACATTCCACTTCCCCACCATGACCACCCCAGTATCGGTGGTTGCAGACGCGAAGGCTGATGTCGATATCTTTTTTACCCGTGACGGTCAGAAAGTAGGGGGCTGGGACCTTTACGAGGAGTTGGATGAGGATTCTGGAGGGGTAGAGGGTCTAGAAGGAGATTTTGATTTGTTTGGTGCCCTCGGACTGTTCGGAGGTGTGGACTTCGAGGTTTTATTAAATCCTGCAGATTGGTTATGGGCTTCTGAAGAGAACCCCTGATTGTCGCCATTCTGTACCTTACATTGCTCCGGTAAACGCAAACCAATCCATGTAGCTGCCTTATTGAACGCTCTCGGGATGTTAGCAACGTGCACATTGGAAGAGTAAGCGAGGAGTTGTTTCCTTCAAGGCCGTTTGACACAGTAGATAAACGCGTAATACGGAAATGTGTTCGATCATTCTAGTTTTCCTGGTCACCTTAGCTAGCAGTCTATTAGATTCACAGACAGGAAGCTAATAGCTGTGACATAGTCAGGCATGGAAGACGAATGATGATATAAAAGCGAAACTACCCAGACAAAGACGTTTTATGAATGGAAACGATCGCCATAAACATCCTTGTTGGTTGTAATACAAGCTACTGGGCTATGCGCATGACAGAACACACTTGGTGCAATGGAGATGTTCTAGAAAGACACATGCAGAAATGGCTTGGGGAAGAGAGGGTGTACCCTGTTGATACACACACATTAGTGTATCGGGGGGAAGCATAGTCTGCATCCCCGTCATTGCCTGAGGATGCTTATGTTACCAATAGGCCTGGTCCAGAACAAGGGAGCCTCAAAGTTATCCGATTGATCGCTGAGGGGGCTTGCCTTGCTTGAGCTGGAGGGACGGAGGGGAGGGAAGTTGACATCATAACTCTGAAAATCAGTGCCACTATATGCAAGTAACTAGCGGGTATTGGATTTCCGAACTACCTAGGATAGAGCAGGGGTGATGTTTGTTCGGAACCTTGACTGCATTAGAGAATGATATGCAAGGCATTGTAATTCCCTGACCTCATGATGCATATGCTAGTCCCTTAAGTGCCATAGGAGAAGACTGCCCGTTTCGGAGATAGATGAGTGTTTGTTATCATATGTTGTCGGGGGAAGAGAAAGTGAAGTGTGTGTGTGTGTGTGTGTGTGTGTGTGTGTGTGTGTGTGTGTGTGTGTGCGCTGGGGAAACGGTCAGTATGTGCCATTAGACAAGGTCAGGTAGCACAGGAAGCTGATAATTCTTCGTGTAGCACAGTCCCCATCCAGTGGACTGACCAACCCCATTCCAAACACTTTTCTAATTCTACGGGTAGTATAGAGGCATTGCTGCAGCTCATGGCGTTTCTAGTGATCTCACAAATGTTGCAGGAGATTTCTGCATAGGGGTGTGTGCATGTCAAGAGACCAGGAGCTGGCCTGCTGCACAGAGCTAACCACAGACTCAGTCCAAGAATAGTTCAATTGTTGATATTGTTGCGCCGAATTGGCCCCAACGGCTGTGCAGGAGAAGCATCAGCGGGTCGTGATACTCAACCTATCTAGTGGCAGTAACCATAGGCAAGATAAATAATCATTATAATAGAGACTGTAACAATAACAATAATAATTATAAAAACAACAACAATACTCAGTTGATACCTTTAACAATTCGGACTCCTTCCGAAAACTCCGTTCTGCACCCCGTGAAAGCCACGCAGAGCATTCGCTTTGGAGTCTCCTGGAGGCTTGATCAAGCCAAACAAGCCGAGTGACTATTCGGGTAGTAGTATTCGCACAACCGGCATAGAAGTCACTTAAACGAGGCTAGTCCAGTGGAAATCTAGCTCATGCCTAGTTTTAGCTGCTGGATTGACTCGATTAGCTGCAGAAGTGGTGCAGTAGTCAACGTTGCTAACGCCTTTTCCGTGGTAAGCAGGATGGCCTGGCCGAGCTTCAGGCCCGCAGCCGAACCTCACACGGGCCACCAAGAGCGAGGTCTTCGACTCTTGCGTTCAGCCTATGATAGCACGGCAGCGTCCCACAAATATCCGCCACTCCTACCTACCTAGGCAGTCCGTCCTGCCGTAAGATGCGACTAAACTAGAGGAGCTTGGAGTACTCCGTACTAGCATGAGTAGTCTACCAGACAATAATAATATCACCCGAGTAGGTTTGTGGAAGAGGGGGGGCGAAATGAGGGTTCTGCCGTGAGGTCCGGGGAGGGCCCGGGCGGGAAAATGATAACAATGATAATAGTTATTTATCTACACATTACAATAGATGAATTACGCATTTTCATGAGTTCCCTTGCTACTTCAACTACTACAACTGTCACTACCTCTCTACCTTATAGCATGCTATCTTTAGATAGCCAGAACTTCCTGCGTCGTCTGATCCCTTAGGACGGACGGAAAATCAATCCATCCTGACTGGGAGTGGTGGGGGGGCGCAGTGTTTACAAATGGTGAAAAGCGCGGGCGGGCTGTGTCTTGGGAAGCACAGGACAGTCTCAGCCCAGTGTGTCGCCTGTCGCCGCCAAACACGTAGACTAGTACTACTAATAGACTAACTAACGGGAGCGGCACAGCTCCTTAGCAAGGTAAGTAAGTTGCCTGCTGTCCGGGTAAGCGAACCACAACGCTGTAGCGGAGATTTGCCCCCATGCCGAGGCGCCCCAGTCCACGGACGGTATGGAACAGTTCCCACCAGTACAAGAGGAAACAGCCCGCGCTAAGTTGTGCACAGTCCGCTACCTCCTGCGACTAATTCTCTGGGAGAGTCAGCCTAAGGTGCTCGGAGTGGAGACTCTGCCTCCTCGGTCTTCATGCCAACTTGCGCCGTATTAAGTAGTAATAATTACTACAAGTCCATACATAGTAGGTAGGTAGTATTGATGACTAGTAGACTAACTAGACCCAGCCCGAATCCCCCCCCCCAATTGATTTCCCTGTTGCCTTTGTATTCCAACTTGTGCAGAAAGTACGGCAATGCTCGCTCAGTGCTTGAATTATTCTCGTCACATTACATTGTCAGATTAGAAAAGGGAGCAAGCCCTTTGGAGGGTTTGGCCTTTATATTGATCTAAGAGTAGCATGATGGTAAGTATATGATTGAGTTACACACACGGCTGACATTCCGATTGACGGCATGAGCTGCATGACATTTCCGCATCTCTGATGGAAACGGGATTATGCCCTAGACTAGTCTTACGGTAAGAGAGAGTAAGTTTACTTACTAGGTTGATATCAATGGATAATCTTGCCCGTCGACGGTTCCAGACTTCGATATGGAGCGTCGGCTGAACAGTGCGTCGAAATCGTGGAGCACCTAGCTCCTCGCTGTACACGGGAAGAATTACAGGTATTCGCTATTATTGTTGCTCACCCACACCCCCCTATCTTGTTCAAGGATGATCGGTAATATCTTCTTTTGAAGCTACGCATGAAGTCGTAGGATTCAGCCCGGGGATTATGGGAACGGCTAATACGCGCACTTTACTATGCAGTGGCACCTAGTACTAACTCGTTTAAATTGTGGGGCTTTACTGGTAGGTCAAAGGTAATGGTGTGATATTCTTCCGGGCTATCCTGTGGCTTTCTGTTGACACTTGCAAACTTTCCTCCTTCCCTCAATTTGTCGGAGGCCGCAGGGGATATATGGCCGACCGGCGAAATATACGCCTCTTCTTTCATGAAACAGCCAACAAATTACACAAAGGCATAAGTTACTATGAATTTACCTTTTTATTTTTATTTATTTTTTTTTTTTTTTCAGTTCAGTATTATTTTGGTATGGGGCACGCAAAAAATAAAAGGGATAGAAACTCCTATAAAGACAGACAAGACAGCCTGCGCTAAAATCCCGGACTATCTTAGCACTTAAGTACACAGTAGCAGTTCTGCTCCGAACGCGTTTGAATGGATCCTCGGTCATTCCCGGGTGAGGGTGGGGAGCTCGGCGGAGGCAAGTAATGTCCGTGCAGCCGAGATAGGTACGCGTCTGTTTCAGTTACCTAGAAGATTGTTATGCATGTGTGTGGCTGCTTTTGTCGAGGAGCTAAATCATATCCTAACTGCAGTAACCACGCGAATGTACACATTGAAGAACGCCCTCCATACTCGGCAGAGAGAGCCTGGAAATATACTATACGAACTTGGTACTAGGGCCGCGGAGGAAGACGGAATACAATTAGGAAATTGTCAAAGCAATGCAACGTCGCCTTGTTTATAGTCTAGTCTACTAGCTTATGGTGAACGGATCGAGACGGACCAATTCCATATGAAGCATGGGGACCGATAGTGCTTAATATGAACCCTTGTAAAGATACCACATGTAAATTGCGCATCAATCTATGTCAGTATGTTGGAACAATAGAACCTCACCTTCCCGAACTAGTAAGGGGGAAAACCCCCCCATCTGAACCCCTTAGGCAATTGCATCAATATTCTCCTTGTCCTTATGTCGAGATGAGTTACTTTACAGAGAATTAGAACCAATAATCCGTTGGGACTTTTACCATGGCATTGTATGCACGTAGACATACTACATCATGTAGAGTGTGTTCACCATCTTCCTGCTAGCTGCTTATTGCTAGTTAGGTGATCATTTAGCTTAGAATCCCGAACCTCGTTCTAGTCCGGACGGTAGGGTGTAGGACTGCTTGAGTGGAGGAGCCCCGGCCTAGCCTTGGGGCACATAGCCGTTTAAGGTGACTTGCAGGAGGGTTGATTATCATCTGCAGCCACTAAGGCTGGTGGGTTATCTGTACCAATAGCTACGAAGGAGCAGCCCGTATGATGGCTAGCCATGGTTCCATCAGCACGCGTCCTCGATGCCAAGATAACATTGACATATTACCATGCGAGTCAAGTCTTTATTGGGAAATAGAGCTCGGGCCGCACGTTCATTGTTACTAGCGATGCTAATCGTGTGTATGTGGAGTTATTGTCTCTATCCATGCTCTCGAAGAGATTACAGCGGTCCCATAGATGATTGGTTGAGAAGCCCGAGAGTCAACTTACTACAATTAAGTACTACTACTTAGTACCAAGTACTACACGGTTTGGTTCTCTATGCTCTTAATCCGTCCATGGTACTACTGCTAAAGTAGTATTTGCTGGCTACGCCTAAGCTATCTGGGTAGGGTACTCTTGTCAGTGTACGTAAGTGAAGAGCTACTGGCAGGATTCACATAATAGCTGTCCAAATCATAGTCCCACGACGGCTGCTAAGACCAGTCGAACACCAATCATGGCTATTACTCCAAATTTGGTTGATGGCGAGATAGTAGTCGATCGTTAGCAAGCGAGACGCATAACCTCCATAGATATCTGAGATCTACTACTAAGCAAGCCACAAGCTGCATATAGAACTCCGTGTCTACCGGGTGGGGAGGGACGGTTGGCCGAAGAGCCCATAAAAATGCCGCTTTGGTCATATGCGGCCCCAGTAACTTCGCGAGTTAAAATTGTGAGGCAACACCAACATTCTTGTACAGGAGCACATGTGCAGGAGCTGTGCTCCGGAAAAGTGAATAGCTATGTCAATGTGATCTTCCGAAGCACATGACTGCTCGGGACTGTGACTCAAGGGAACCTTTTTTATGATATACCTTACAGCGTACAGATAGAATTCCAGATACTCCAAAATATCATCATGGCTCAGAGTTGATAGCCATATTCTGATTTGGTAGGCCAGAGACCTCTGTCTCGGATTAACTTTCAGCTGATAAATGCATGTTCTCGGAGCCGACCATGCTATGGGTCATGACATTACTAGCTGAGAGACAGTGGTGTGTCACTGTCTGGGGAATGGTCTCGACTTCGTATTACCTCCAGCCTATGGCAGCATTTGTTGTTGTTAAACCCCACCCAAGCTTCGTGATCCATTCTTATTTAGCGGGCGACTTGGTTGTGGGAGGCAACGAGTGCAGGTAGTGGGCTTTAATGAGACGGGGTTGGGAGATCGCCGCTAGGATCACCGTTAACCTGAACGTTTTTGGTTTGAGGCCAATGAGGCCAATGAGGCCATAGCTACTACCGATTCTGTATTGTGCGTTAAGTTCCCCCAGCACACTTGTCAGTGGTGTTTAGGGGGGGGCCCGTTCTTCGCTTTTCGCCCTTTTCAAGTATCACTTATTCCATGTATACCATATTCTAATGTCAAGTAGAACTTCACCATGGATTAAGATAAAGGCAACTATCTGTTTTCTCTGCGATGGACAGCTGCCCTCGATATTGGAGGGGACATGGGGGATGGTGTGCGTGTGTGACGACCTGTTGACAAAATTGTAGCCTAGTGCGCAGTAGCTGGAATTGCTTAGCGAGGCGCGCAGTCCCGTTCAGTGTATCTTGTTACATAGCTATTACCGTTTCTTCACTTTGAGATAGTTCGCCTTTTACAAAAAGTGGGATTCCAAAACGCGAGATTCTGTTCTTGGCCTGTATGTCAATGGCTAAAAGCCAATACTACCATCTAGAAATTCTGCTAAGTATTACGAGAGAATAAAGAGATTCACATCTGGAATGTGGTGGGAAATGGTCATTCGGTCTTCGGGTCATTTTCTTTCCTAGGGACCTTTATCTCAGAATTCCCGAAGAACTTTGGAGTGGTTGCTTATCTTTCTCCCTTTCAATCTCCATGGTCGCAGTATAATCGCCTAGTCTGCCATAGTTAACATAACTTTGTCCGGCTGACCTTCAATTTTATTATGGGCTTGGGAGGCTCAAAGAGCTGTGCTGATCGGTACGGGCTAAAAAAGAAATTAACAAAAACAAAAAAAGAAAAAAAGAAAACAAGAAGCCATGTGCCATGAATAAAAAAAATGCTTTTTCTTTTCTCCCCTTTTAGTTGCGAGAACCTACCTTTATGCCCACAACTGAATATGAGAAGAATCCTGAAGGTGAGATAGTAACCTGTAAACTAGTAATTTCAATCATTTCCACATAATTTCCGACCTCTGGAAAGGTTTGTTGTCCTCTCTGACAACTCTTTCATTTAATTTTTCCCCATTCGTTTTCCTCCCGATCGGAGCTTCTTGTCTAGGCCGATGGTCTGCTATGTTGGCTATTTTAGTTCTCACCAATGCCACTAGGTAGTATGCAGCAGCAATCTGCACCTGGATAGATTTAGAAATTGTATGTTGTTACAGGATCAGACTCCTCGAATGATGATATGAAGAAATTACTATGTCGTCACTGCCATGTATGGAACAGCTCTGATTCAATTTCGGTAGCGGCCACTCTCTCCTTTGAACCTTTGAAAATCCCGGGAATATCATGATGACAGCAAGCTTGACATGTTAAGTCGGATTTAATGGTAATGCTTCAATAGTGGGAGCATGTTATCTCTCTTCACAACGACGTTAAATTACGCATGGAATATGGAAACAGGTGAGATTTTTTTTTCCCCCTTTTCCTTATTCATCTTATTTCCTTATCCTTGTTGGTTGATCATCCAGCCGACAAACGAACTCTGCCCCCCCACCACCTCTTACCAAGTATTATCTAGGTGATTTTGTCTGTCGGCTCATCGGCGTCACTTGCCCATCGGGAATGATAAATGAGCCACCGATGATTTTATGTTAGGTTTATCCAATCTTTTTTTTTTTTTTTCCCTTTTTCGTTTTTTTTTGGTTTTCTCCGTCTGATTTTTTATTATTTGCATTTTGCTTTATTTTTTTTTTCTTAACATTCAATATTAAAATGATTATGAATTTTGTTTAATTCCCATTTAGGTTTTCTTGCGTATGACTCTGTATACTTTTGCCCCTATCCATCTATTCGGTCCACCTTGACCGGGGAAAGAAAGAGGCGGAAAAGAAAAGAAAAGGAAAGGAAAGGAAACAATATAAACTGATAGAATAAAATCAAGATGAAAAAAAAAAATGAAAAATAGAAATCAAGGAAGAAGAAAAGAGGGGAAGTAAGTCCAGCAAGCGAAGATGGAGAATGTATCATCCTGTTGCAGGGGAGGAAAGTGTGTGTGTATGACCATGGACGGTGGAAAGGAGGGAGGCATTTCTCTACTCAAGCTTCGCTCTGGTAAAAGTACCTTAGGGAGAGGTGGCTAGTACGAGGAGATACTGGACCTACTCCATAATAATGACTCTCGTGTTTAGGAAGTCTACAGCGTCCCGGGCAGGATGCGCAGAACAGAGTGGACTAGATAGTGCTAAGGAGGTACTAGGACGGACCGGTTAGTACGGAATACTACACCCCCAAAGGCCCCAACACGGTTAAACCACTGCGAATTTCGGAGACGCCCACTAACGTGCTTTTAGCTCCTACTTTAGCCTTAGAAAACACACCCACACACCATTAGCAGTCTCCACCCTCTCTGGCCCATGTCACTGCAGTGGACTGCACAGTAGCTGCATGGACCGCCGCCAATCCTTTCTCCACCCGCATTATCCTCCATCAGTCCATCTAGATCCAGGGTCTCTGACGCACGAGGCAAAAATACACCTGCATGACACTCAAAATGACAAAGGAACTGGAGCCCACAAGTAACTTATTTATATTTCTCTCTAGGGATTGGCTCAATCCATTGTCTGGATGCCGGACTTGAACATGTGCCTTCCCTGCCATTCCGTGCCATCGACTCCATCTGCAACAAATAAGAATCCCCAATGTTGCATGTTCGCCCATAGGCATTCTCATCTTCTGTGAAGCCAATTGACCTCAGAGCTGGTCTTTCATTTTTCTTAGAACTTCCTGACGAGGTCTTGGGCTATCTATTTACCCAGACATTCGTTCATCCTGTTTTATTTATTTATTTTCTTTCTTTC